GCCGTCGGCACGCCGGCAGGGAGCCTCCACTCGTGATGAACGCGACGCCTCGGATGAACACGACGCCGCCACCCGAGGACGCCCGCCCGCGTCGAGCCCTCACACGAGGAGGAGATGGGGCCCCGCTGCCGCCAGCACCTACCGGCAGCGGCGAGGGGAGAAGAGGGGCGGGGGGACCTGAGGCGCCGACGGCCAGGGTTGCCCCCTCGGTCGCTCGCGGGGGGAGTGACGCGAGAGGGGCGAGAGGCTCAATTGGGGTGACACTTGGTCTTCATTTTGTATTTGTTTTTTTGCATAGGCCAAAATGGTTAACCTTTTTGCCTCAAAATTTGCAGATAGCATTTGGATATGACTAAGATCACATAAAAAAATTGTCTTGATTTTTTTCACATTTGAAGAATTAGTTTTGGGCCCGGGAGCCAAATTGACTTTCCGAATACAGTAGGGTATTATATGGGCGCACTCCTAGTCTTTGTGCCTATATATACATCTGTAATCTTATGCCTCGCTAACATAACAAAAAACAGGATGCTGCTGGAAATGCGCGCCGGTACCATTTGGGATTATGTGGCAGCAGATGTATACATATTACGTTTGACAAAGGGACAAAATCTGATTTATGGACCAAACCGAAGGCGACGACCCTGGATGATTATTTTGTTATTTTTTTTGAAACGGATGATGACTATGTGTATTGTATGCACATGGCTCGCCGTGAAGATAATTGGCATACTCTGTATAGCAACGCCCATCGTTGCGGCTGGGAAATATGTAGCCCTGGCGCTCTCGGTGGCGCGTCTCGTACAAGGGGATTACGGCGATGCGGGTGGAGATGCTGCAAACAAAGCAAAACTAAATGCGGCGTTGATCATCTTCTATGTTCTGGCTATCTTTCACAGTTCATATCTCATATACCGGTTATTTGTTAGTACATTTGAGCCGTGGATGTGGGTCGGCAAACAATATGGCTTTGGGGATTGGGGTCCCAAAATTCTTTGGAGATACCAGTATAAAACCAGAGTTGAGTATCGCAAGGATGGGTTTTTGCCCAACAACTGGAACTTGATCACATTCAGTGTTGGGTTGCTAGAGTCTGCATCTCCGGACGACCGTCTATGGGGAGCAAGGGTGTTAGACACTTTCACCAGGAAAGCTATACCGATAAGTATGGAGCTACTATCTTCCAGTCAGGCGATCCAGAATCTGATATACATGATTGGCTTGACAAGAACAGATAACCACGAGAGCAGAGAGCGTGCCGCAAGGATTGTAGCAGGTCTAGCCAGCGAGCTCCGTATAACCCAGTTTCCAGAGATACTGAGATGTATATGCTGCCTATTTGAAAGCTGCAATCAATATAATGATTCAGAAGATGCCCACCCGTCAAAGAATTCTGAGCCAACTCTGGATAAAACGGCCCGCAAGATGTCAGTAGAAACCTTGGAGCATAGTCACCATCAAGAAGATGCCCACTTGTCACTAGCGATCCCCGAGAAAACTGACCATAAGCAAGTCATGAGTCTAGCATCAGGCAAGGTACCCAACATAAAAACATTGATCCAGACACTATGCGTTCAATTGTTGCACAATTGGAAGATATATTATGGAGTTAAGTACCACTACCCCTATGCATCAAAAGGAACAAAAGAACTGATCTCTCAAGGCCTGGTGATTCTTGAGAGGCTCACACAAGATGAAGGCAACTGTATAGAGATTATCAGACACCAAAGGCTCCTCTCTAAGATCACATTACCATTGAGCTACCAGGACCTCCTCAACCATGGATGGGAGGACCATACATGGGCTGAGATGCTAAGCAGGTCACTCACAGTTGTGAGCAGGCTTATCAGAGCTGGACCTGGGGAGGACACCACAAGACTGCGCCATGATATGGCGCGCAACACGGTAGCTGTCCACAATTTGATGCGTATTTTGGAGGTTGACAATGAAGGTGCCTTCTCGGAACAACATGGGCTAGCAATAGAAATTCTTACAGAGCTAGCCTATGATGATTCTTTCAGAAAAATAGCTTTTGATGAATCTACAACCATGACCGAAATGCTCATGAAGACATTGCGGCGCATCTTCCATGAGGATAGCGACAACAATGGTATAGTGGCAAAAGAAGAGGAAGAGAAAGACAAGAGAGTGAGGAGAAAAGCAGGGAAAGCACTGGCGAGATTATTGCTTGGCGTCCCAAGTGCAAGAGATAATAGTGTTGCATTGACTTCTGCACCAAATGTTAATGATATTTATCTACTTCCCAAACAAGACATGGTCAATCTGTTGACCAAGGTAACTCTCTAACATCTACCTATTTTAATCTTATTCCCATTGTCTTTGACGTTTTCTTTGCTGTTCAAACATACATAAACCAGACAACATGGGTTGGTTTTGGTTCGTGGGCTTGAGTAAGGGCCAGTTCTTTTGGTAGCTTCTAGAATAAGCTGCAATAAAGCTGCCCCCTACCTAGCTTATTCTAGAAGCCCAAACGAATTTATTTTTTTAGAAGCCTAGTAGTTAAGACTTGACTAGTAGGCTTTTAAAAAGAAAATTTTGGTTGGGCTTCTAGAATAAGCTGGGTAGAGGGCAGCTTATTCTGAAAGCCCAAAAAAGCTAGCAAAAGAACTGGTCCTAATTCTAGGGCGAAATCAGTGGCTAGCTTTAGCAAGATGGTGTTCTGGGGATGCAAATACTTGCCATTTTAGTTTCTGTATATAATTTTCCCTCTAATGCCCGTCTTAATTTTAGGAGTTATTGGTCTAATGTGAAATCTGTTTTGACTGAAGATGAGTAATCCTGAATATGATATTCTTGTTGATGAGTAACGCTATAAATACGCTATTTTTGTTGATGAGTAATTTTGCGGTACTCTTTTCTTTATTTTTGTATGTGAAGAATGCATGCTATTGTCATTGCATTTATATGTATCAGAGTCATATATGATATGATTAAGCCTCACAAAAAATTGATAGGGTTATGACATTGCTAATACTCTCTTTGTGCCGAAAATATTGTTCCAGGTTGTTAATCAAATATTATCTAGTAAAGGAGAAAGGGCTGCAGATGTGGTAATGCTAGCTGGTCCAAGCAATGGTTTTCATGTAGAAATGATTGTAGAAAGCCAGCCTTTAAACGGTTCTGAATCTGACAGTAGACAGTCTTCCATTCAGGAAACTGAAGAACAATCCGAGGACAGAAAAATGCTTATGTCCATGCTATCCCTCACCATGGTGATATGCAACAAAAATGTGATCAGCGCAGATGATTTTACCCGTGCCATCCCTGACGATGCAGCACTCGTGAAGAAGCTCAAGGAGATAGTAGAAATGCTTCAGGATGCCACGACTGGCGGCTGGAGAATGCTAAAGCTTGTTTGTCAGGTGGTTATAGCAGTGGTTCAGCTCAAACCCAGCTGCACCAGAGAGTTCAATGAACATAACTTCAAGGAGGCACTGTCCAAGGCTCTTGCGATCATGTCGGGCATCGACAACTGCATGATCTTTGCTGGCAATGACCGTGAGGTGCCTGTCAAGTCTCTCGCTTCTCTTGTGAAAGAGGCACAGGAGCTCTTGGCACAAGAGCAGGGTGACATAATCTCTACCTGATGTTGAACGGGACATCATTTGAGTTTATTATTCGTATTTGTTGCAAAAGGTGCTTGTGGAGTTTGTTTTGCTGAGTTATGTTGCTGATGGTACAATGTTTAACAACTTCATTCGGGTGTATTATTCGTCTGTATTTGTTCCAATTGAATTCTCTTTGTCAATGTTTAACAACTTCATTGAGGACCTTCGTTACGTCTTTTATTTGTTTAAAGTTTAAAGACGATGTTTGTCGGCTTAAGAGTATACTTTTTTGGTGCACTTTTTCTCAACAACTAAGGTGGTTGCAAGTAAAACAGTTAGCAAATTGTATTTGCGATGCATATACACACAATAGGGAAAAGAAAACATAGATAACTACACATGCATACCTCTGAAAAATGTCACAGGAAAAACAACAGATTTCTCATCGCGCGAGTGAGAGAAAGCG